TATTGTCATTATTATTGTGCTAAATTTTTATTTCTTGTTTTTTTTTTTTACTGACCAGCTCTCCTAATATCTAGTAGTATTGCTTTCCAGATATGAGTTCAAAACAAACCATGAAGAATGGGTTAAAGATGTCAAACCAAGACAAGGGCCTGAGATCTCTCATTGTGTTCTTGCAGCAATCAACACTACATATGAGAATGTGAAAACTTTATACAAAGTCAAGGCTGAGATGAGAGCTGCTCTGCAAAGTCTTCTAAAGGTTTGCCAGCTTCTTCTCCTCTTTCCTAATGAAGTTGTTGTTCTCCTTTGTTATAGCTATTTACTGTTATTTATTTTCTATAAGAACGTCTACCATATACAAATGAAGTTGTTGCCCTGTTTACTGCGAGAATATTGTTGCTACTATGACAACTTGATAGAATGATCTTGCCTTGCAATAAATGACACCATAGGTCTACGCTTCAGTTTTAATCAGAGAGGAGCAATTTGTATCTTATTAGCAACTTAAACTTAAGATGGTGCTTTTAGGAATCTGAAACAAGCAACAAATGTTGACAGTATTGAAAGGTTGTGAATCTATTTTTTTTGTTGTTTGACACGTCATTAACTTAAATATTTTCTTGAGAGACCCTTATAATGCAAAGAGAAAAGTTACCAACTTCAGGTTTTTTAAATTGAGAGGATTGCAGATGTTACTGAAGGTCTAATGTCCTATACTTCCGAGCTAAATTATTAAACTCATTGATCTCTTTAGCTATTGTGTATCTGAGACATGCTTATAGGTTTTTGGATTCTAGAAACACCCAGGCTAACCACATTTCAAAGGTGAATGTAAGATCAACTCATTTTTTTTATAGTAAATTTTTTTTATAGTTTAAATGTATAAATAAAACATGGGTAATAATTGCTGTCTATCTTGTTAAATGACATGGGAAGTGCAAAAAAAGGCGGTATTTGGCAGTTGGCCTATTAACTATGATTTCCAGGTTTTAGTTAGAAAGTTAAATTTCTGTATGCTAACTTGCGTTTCTGAAAATTTTCTGAATGTCTAACATCGGAAGGATTCATGATGTTTTAGGGTTGTTGCAATAGATGAAATGATAGAAAAGACCAGAAGCATATATTATGGAAGATTGCGAGAATTAGAAAATTTTTTTTTTTAAATGTTAAATGTCTGATGTATATTAACAGCATCTACGTAGGTAGATATCTCTGATGAATTTGGGGTTTACTTTTATGGTTCCGAAAATCTCTTGGATTTCAGATGCTTGTCTTGAAATGCTATGTTTAAGGATAATAGGTATGAACTGGTAGTGAATGATCTCACATCACTGAGTTATATTTTTTGTTTCAGGATGATGGAATATTAGTGATTCCCACAATTGCAGATCCTCCACTAAAGCTGAATTCAAAGAAATGGTATTCCAATGAGTTTCGCGATAGAGCATTTGCATTATTGAGCATTGCTAGCATGTCTGGGGGCTGTCAGGTGGCTTGATGTTACCAGGCTTAATTTTTTATTCTCGCGTGTTCTTTTGTAGCATGGACATCAGTCATTTGTTTAACCTTACAATCTCCTCCCAGGTTTCTGTTCCATTAGGAAAGGATGAAGGTTTTCCTGTGTCTCTTTCATTTATCACATACCATGGAGCGGATAAATTTCTTCTTGATACAGTTTTGGATATGTACACATCTCTGCAAGACCAAGTCAGTATTGCATCCAATTCAGCACCATTGCCTGATGTCAATGGTATTATGGATGCTTCCGAACTCTTGAAGGAAAAGGTTTGCCCGCCTCTAATATCTTTAATATCTTACTGGTTTGATTTGCCTTACAAAATTTCTACCAATGCAAGTGATGTAATAGATTTGAAATTTGATCCTTCTGTTGATGGGACTTGTCAGTTTCCACCTTTTCAGTTACGACTCATCCAAAAAGAAGTTTTAGTTTGTCTGGTTGTATTCTTTTCTGGTCATAAGTAGCTTACTAATTGCCCAGTTGGGAGCACAGGGTACCGCAGTGGGAGGGTCTCCCTACTGCCCTGGCCCCCAATTTTTTGCTGGTTCCATTCGTGCTCTCAAACAGAGCTTAAATGGTATATTATTTGATAGTTTTTACATACACTTGACAAGTAACAGTAGGAAGATTGCCTTCTTTTTAGTGGGGATAGATGAGTCCTTGAACCTGTAAAGAAATGATGGTTAACTGCATTTTCTCTTTACTTGCTGAACTTCTACCTTTTTTTTGTTAAAGTTTGCAACACTTCTAAGAAAACTCTTATTTTGGTCTCTCATTTTCTAAGAAAATTCTAGATTTAGGAGAGACCAAAACTTCTAGAGGTAGACCATGAAAGACGTGAATGCAAGTAATAAAAAATGATATGAGGGTTAAGGAAGTAGATGAAAAGGCTGTTTTTTATAGAAATGAGTGGCGCAAGAAGATTCAAAACTACAACTTAACATGATTCCTGTTTTGGCCTTCCATACTGCCTATCCCAAAGTTATGGGATATAAGACTTAGTTTGTTATTGTTGTTGTTGATGTTGTTGTTGCAACACTTCTAAGAACTAGCATCCAGCATGTTATGTTTTTTAAGTTCATATATGGGAAACTTTAGTCATAAGCATTGGCACTTGATTATTTAGATCTTATTGTAGTGCTTTCTGCGTTAAATGCCATAGAGATCACTTTAGTCTCACTGTCTAACATTCATTAGCACTTGTGATAATTTGAGGTCTAACATTCATTTCTTATGGATAAGTTGTCTGAAGCAATTAAAATGCTGGTTTGGTGTGAGGTTGCACTTGATTTTTTATGAAAATTTACAGACAGTAAACAATAAGTGAAGAAAAAAGGTCTGCCATTATAAGTTTTTCTTGACAAGTTTTGAATCAGGGAAATGCTGCATTCAAGGGAATGCAATGGAATAAGGCTGTCAAGTACTATAGTGAAGCTATTAAGTTCAATGGGACAAATGCAACATACTATAACAACCGGGCAGCAGCTTACTTGGAACTAGGATGGTATAGTATCTCTTAGATTTGTTGCCATTCTTTTCATTGCATTGTTTTGCATCCACATACTTCCTAGGGGAACTGATTCTAGAATATGCAGCTTCCAACAAGCTGAAGAGGATTGCAGTAAGGCAATATCACTTGACAAAAAGGTAATTTAGGAAACATGTGATGGTAACTACGATGTTCTTTGATGAAGTAGCTCTTCTTTGACAGTTAAATAGTGGAATTTAAAATGTGTATGCACACATGATTAAAAAGAGCAGTTATGCTCCAGTGATGTTATTAATCAACTAATATTTTTGTGCAGAATGTGAAGGCATATCTGAGACGTGGGACTGCCAGAGAATCACTACTCTGTTATAAAGAGGCTCTTGAAGGTGAGAATACTTTTGTAGTGCTTATTATGCCTCACATGTGATATGACACTCATTTCCACCCAGCTAGCTAAAATTATTGACAAACACAACTAATTATGCATTTGCAGCTCTTTTTTTATTTTAAATATCTTTTGATGGCAACTATAACAGATTAAAAGTATTATAAATTCCTAAATCCACACTGGTAGTATATGAAGCTTTTTTATTTTTCCCCCTTTTTTCTTTCCTGCCCCTTCCCTTTCATCATACCGATGGTATCTGATGTTTGAACTTTTAGAACTTTTGGATGACGGTGGTCAGTTAGGCTACATAGTGATAATACTTGTCCTTTGTCATATTGGTTGGTCCATTCTTTACATGCTGGGTTTCCTACTTGATGTGGGGTTTAGGAACATTAGTACTAACATACATAGGGAATAAATGCCCTGGTAAGTTCAGCAAATAGTTTTTCCTGATATTACATAGTAGGGAACATGCATGCGTGCAGACCAAACTACATAGTCCATACGGTGTTGGAATCTGTCAGAGTTTGAGAGAGATGAACTTAATGGATACATATTTCACTCTGTAATCCTTTTACTCCCTCATTCTGATGAGAGTTTTTTTTTTTTACGGGCCACGATCTATTTGCTTCTTGTAATTTATGCGTGCAATATTATGCCTATTAAGCAGTTCATTGTTTTGGCATCAGCAGATTTCAAACACGCTCTGGTTCTAGAGCCACAAAATAAAGTGGCTAGCCTTGCAGAAAGAAGACTAAGAAAACTGATTAGTTGATTTTCCCCTGCTCTCCTTACATCTTGTCTAACAAATATGACAAACATTGAAGGAAGATACATGCAGAATCGTCGCGCAATGTCAGCCCTTTGGATAAAAGGGAAAATAAAAATAAAGCTCGCTGTTTATAGGGTTGCTCCATTTTTTTTGCTTGGCATACTCCCCTGCTGTACTTACGTCTTTGTCTAACAAATAATTTGTTGATATGTCTCCTTTCAATAGCCATGAGGAGGTTTTAAAAATTATTTAAAATATCTCGAGTTGGGCTCTATTTTTTTAATTATAATAAATAAGATATTATTAAAAATCTCATTTTTTTTCAATATTTATAAAGTGCATATATATATATAAAATAATGTTTTAATCAATCCAAATCAATTCAGATTGGATCATGAGTCTATTAATATGGATTCTTGAATTCATATCAATTTTACCATTTTAAAAATTTTGCATGTATTTTTTAGGATAATAATGTTTGGATTGGGATGATTTCTTTCTCTTCGATTTTGATCTGACTCAACAATGTTTTATTTTTTATATTTGATTTTGATTTGACATAAATAATTCATATTTAATATGTAATCAATTTGAAATTAATTTAATATAAATTTATAAAAAATATTTTTTTAATATAAATTATATTTTAACTTTTTAAAATATAATATTTTATTAAATTAATATATTACAAATAATTTTATTAGATATATATATGTATATAAAATTAAATAAATAATAAAATTATTTTATATATGAATTTAAATAAAATATCTTATAGCCTATTCTATCTCAAATTTTTTATAATGTATCCACCCCGCTTTCGATCCACCCAATCCCTGACTTGAAAACACTGTCCCTATCAAAATCAGAAAAAATCAAAATATAGACTGATTTGGCTGTCCGCCTATGTCCAATCCATACTCCAAATAAACATTTCTTAACCTCTCTCAAAATTCCATCGTTTCCTTTCTTACAATACAAACAAACCATAAGCCAAGAAAAGAAAAAGGCAAACGAAAGCATGGGCATGATGGAGAACTTGCCAACTACCATACCCCCTTTACTCCCCCGAAACATGGTAACTTCTATGTTTATTTATGCCGACAAAACCCTCTTCAACTTTGCAGAAAAATACAAGCTACTTCAAACAATTCGCTATGTTGTCATCACTTCTTTTCTCTTCTGTCTACGCTTGCTTCCTCCTATTTTCCCTTGTAATTCACACATGTTTAAGCCCCAGAAAAAAGATGGCTGCGTCACTGCTTGTGGGGTTGGCGACTTGGGAATCGCTCGTGCGCTTTCACAGATACTATCTATTGTTAATGATATTCCTGTTAGCTCAAGAAAGTATGAAATCGTTCGATCTTTAGCGGAAAGACTTATAGAAGAGAACCATATGGAAGGCATCGAAACTTTACGTGAAGTCAACCGTACAGTTTTGTCAGCGGCCTTTTCGAGGACTCTTAGCCAGCTGAAGCTACAATGGTGGAATTGAGGCAAGACAGGGTCGGTCACGATGGCGCGGGAACTGGACCGGTTCTATATCGGTTGAACATGGTTTTACGGACTGTTCGATCAGTTCGGGGTGGAGTTTGGACTAAGGTAGGGAGGGGGAGAGAGGATGTGAACCGGTCAGGGAATTCAGCTGAGAAACTGGCTGCTGAGCTGCTTTGGCTGGCGCAGAAGTTGTCTGCTTGTGGGTTTGTAGAAGAGGCTGTTGACCAGTGGGCATCAGCTTCAAATTTGGCTTGGCTTTCTCTTTCAGCTGAGCCGAGGCTTCAAGGTTCCCTGGTTAAGGTTTCAGGTATGTTTCCCATTCTTCTTCCTCCACCAATTCCGTTGGCTGACAGGTTTAAGAATATTCATTCTTGCAAGGAGCGACTTATTCTTTCTTGCGATTGGTTTATTTTATCCAAATTCGCATATCCTTTTCATGTTGTATGACCAATATTTTCGTTTGTCTTTATTAGCTGCTTCCCACCAGTCTTCTGAGTTCCAACGGTCCACGTTTTCTCACCTGTGGCCACCCAATTGTGATGTCTTTTCCCCCTAGAATTTCACCTTAGGAATTATTATGAAATGACTCCGACTTTTGCCCTTAACTTGATTGTATTTTCTATATCATTATCATAACTGTGTAATCAGAATTAAATTACTGTACATGAGCATGTTTCATTCTTAACATAGTTGGATTAGATTTAAATAGCATTAAAGCTTAGTCTATTATTGATGTTAGAAAATAGTTTTTACGGTCAAAAATTATTTTTGATTAACAATAAAAAAGAAGTAATTTTTAAATTTATAAGTTTGATATTCAAACTTAAACAAAAAATTTCTTCCATAGATGCTTTTACAGTGAAAAAGTATTTTTGGATGATGCAACGCTTCCCATATTTGACATTTATAACCTAAAGACAAGTACAAATTATTACTAAAATTTATGTAAATGCTAAATAGGCATTTTCTTCATTTCACAGTGCAACCAACGCTAATTGTACATATTTGTTGAATCATGACAGTAAAGATCATGATCCAATTCATTGGCAGGTCTCCATTGAAGGGCCCGATTGAAAGTTTGTGATAATTTGATGAATGAAATTGGGAGGTTCTAGTTGAAATTTGTGATTGCCACAGTTATTTATTAATCTGAATATATTCCAATTATTGAAAATTTAAAAATTGTTGTTCCTTATTTTTTGCTTAATTATTCAAATATGCAGCGTTCTTATTCAAACAAGCCAAGGATATGGGATTCGAAGTGGAAATGACTGAAGAAGGCAACAAAGAGAGCCACAGGCAAACAAAGATGAACATGCTAACGTCATGGTTGCCATTGCTGTGCAGAGCTAGCAATGGCACTGATGTGCCAATGCTCAGAACAAGTGAAAGAGGTGAGCTAGAGAAGGTATTGGAAGTGACCATAGAAAAGCTAGAACAAGAAGAGCAAGAACAAGTACTCTCCCTATGGCTTCACCACTTCACATATTGCCCATCCTCCGATTGGCCCAACCTTCTTGCCTCGTACGTTCGCTGGTGTACCACTTCTCGCAAGCTTTTGATTCTCAATTGAAGATGTAAACTAGAATATCTTGTGTAATACAATAATAAGTATACTCTTCAGCAGGATGATAACTAAGTTGTACACGTGAATATGAACCCGTTAAATGGTACTATAATTCTTCCGTTTATTACAAGTCTTGGCAAATTCCTTGTAATCATGAGATCTATTGCAAGAGGTTACTTATAATCATTTTAATTGTTTTACTGATTACAAAGCCAATGGTTGTAGGCAATTTTGTAAGAACAGAAATTACTACAGCACAAGTTGCTTTGAGTAGATGTCAAATTTCTCTGATGTAGATAGCTGTGGCTCCTGCAAATCAAGAATTCTTTGTTTTCAAACTAAAATTCTTTTCAACTTTTCAATGATATTTATTCAGTTATCATTAGGTATAGAGAAATACCTGTGTTGTCCCAAACAAAACTTTGTTAATGAGAGCTGCAATTGGACCAGTTAGGCGCAAACCAGCTTTAACATCACGAATTGCATTGCTCATTGCATTAAGCAAGCGCCCATACGTCAATCCAGGTTCGTTTTGCACAGCTTGGATGAAGCTGAACGTCATGGCACCAGTCCTGGTATTGTTTCCAGTGAAAGCCTAAAGAAAACAATTCAAACAACAATCTAAGCTAATGGTATTAGTCAGGTTTAATGTATTAAAGGGTTTTTTCCTCTACTTCTTTCTTCGCTAATGTCTATTTTCTAATTGTAGCTAAGGCATAACTTCAATGTTAACAATTCAAACTCCAAAAGGAGGTTCCAAATTCGAATTCCCTCTGCCAACTTAACCTATAAATTGATTATATCTGATCAGATCATTAGATGAATCAGATAAAAGATTACTCACAGTGGTATCTGCAGAGTTTTGATTATCATCACAAGCACTAAAACAGATGGCTATTCCTCCGCTTGTACCCTTGTAAAATAAGGGGTTTCTCTGATCTTCCCATATATAGAACCCTTCCCTACATAATTGAAAACAGAATGTAGAACAAAAAATGAAGTGGATATTCTGGAAGCAGGAAGTTTATAGGACAATAATGGACTGGATATCAATGAAGCTCGACAATTAAAGATCAAAATTGAATAATAGCTCATGCAAAGGAATTTTACAAATAACTGACTTGTTCATCCTGCAAACATAAGGCAGATCAAGAACAGTTCCGCTGTAGCAAGCATCAATGATTGCAAGGAGTGTGGCTCCTCGGGGCAGTGGCCTTACAATGGTGTCATTAATTTCATCATCGATTATATTCCCTTCAGTCTCATGATCGAGAGGGCACAAGGCTTCGTCGTATCCATCGACCTCATCATGGTTATAATCAATCTGCCGCGTGCCGTGACCAGAGAAGTGAAACACTAACGAGTCCCCTGACTGGCAACCATAGACCAGCCATCTCAGGGCTTTTCGGATATTCTGTTTCGTTGGGATCTTGAAAGGATCTGTCTCTTCCTCTGCAGATTAATTGAAGCAGAGTTAACATAAACAAAATGGAATTGATTAGTAGAAAAAGAGTTGAAAGGAAAAAAAATTGGTACAGCACCTGTGAGCATGAGAATAGAGTCATTTGGAAACCCCAGTTTCTCGACAAGAAGGTACCTCATACATTTGACATCATTGATACTTCCTCCTAGCCTGTAACTCTTGCTCTGGTAATTCACCCCGCAAAGAAGTGCTCTTTTCCTTCCGTGCACTGAAACAAAAGATAGGGGAGGTCGTGGCTGCGGAGGTCGCTGATGAGGAGCATACACATATGGAATTCCATACGTTCCTGACCCAGGATAGCTATCACAACCAAACCACTGGACACTGTTAATAACCTAACTGAACAAGAACAAGCATAACGCTAATAATATAAAAATACTACTCAAAAAGAACCTGGTCCGGCCTGGTCCTAGGAATGAGTCATGGACATAAATCCAATGGCCATTGGGCCGAGCATTACTTGTAAATGGGGTGATGGTATTGGTAATGGCTTGGCACACAGCACAACGAATGGTTTGTGCCTCCGGTGGAACCATCAGGTACAGCCCACATCCACTGCATCGCTCTCTTCTTGCCATTGCTTCTGCCTATGGATTGTTAAATTTTGTCGATTGATGTGTGCAATAAAATGAAGATTTAAAGCTGTAAGGATGGGTTGGAAACAGTGAAAGAAGCCAACAAGCACGTAATTTGTTAGTAGAATGCTAAACTCTTAATTTCAGTGGTGACCGCTGCTTAATTGTAACGACATCAAATACCAAAAAAAGCAAAAACAAAAAAACAAAAAAAACAAGAAAGGAGTGGTGAGTAAGCTAGTTTTATCCTCTTATCATTTAGACATTCGATTCCGCAAGAAAATTGGTGGAGAACCAGATTCAATTTCTTTTTCTTTTTTCTTTGGTGGAATAAATATGCTTGAACCTGTATGCAGATAAGATTCGTCATGCTCTGCTAGGTTTCTAGTCAAATCAACTTGATAGCTATCCTTTACGATCTTTAAAACGGAGCCAGACTGAATAATAAAAGACATTGGGAGAGAGAAACCTGATTTGTGAAATACATCACAGGATTGAGCTGGTTACTGAGTATTCAGGCAGTGTTGTTCCAAACACAAAAAACTGGAAGCAGGGTTTCTAGTGTAGCATAAACATATAACACTGAGGCCTGTTAATCTAGGTATGTTTAGTGAATAACAATAACCATACATGAAATCCAACAACGATAAAAGGAGATTGAATTATGGTCACCACTGTCAAACTCTCAGAATTTGACTCTAGAAATCTTCACATAAGTCATGTCTTGTCCTGGTAACCCCTTTTTCTTTTCTTTTTTTCAAAATGTAGATCATGGAAAGTTTTGTTTCGTAAGTTCTGGTAGAAATTTTGGCACTAATGTCAAATTAATTTGATCAATTATTGTATTTTGAGAAAATTGTTGAATGTCTGGAAAGCAAGAACTAAAACCTTTCCTTTTTCCAATTGTAAGAATTAAACAGTTATTAGTCGCTACAAGAATCATAATGTAAAGGGTTCCTACCTATGAATTTACCTGAGATGGAGGACCATGACTTCAAGGGGGTATCAAATACCCCCATCACTCTTTTTTGGGCTAAATCTAGATGACCGGTCTCTACCTTGCTTTCAAAACTTTATTCTTTGGGAAAATAACATTTCATTTCTTTTATTGTTCATTGTACAATTTGAAAATTGGTCACAAAGCCTTCTTATTTTGGAATGAACAATGAATTTTTTGTTCTCCTCCAATGGAAAGGGAATATCAAAAAGGAAAAGATTCAACCATCTTTAACTAGCCGCTGAAAAAAATGGTGCTAAGATTGATGACAATTTATCAGCTTGGAATTTTTTTTACAATATATCAAATTTAAAATTTTTATTAATGTTTTTATTGAATTGTTTTTAATAAATAACTTTACGAATCTTACATAAAAACTTCATTTAAAGAATTTTATCTAAGTCTTGCCTATAATTAGATATAGGTCATTGCTTCATTTGAGCTTGCAACATAATAATTTATAACTATACGTAAGTTTGATAATTCGTGTATTTGTGTCATTAAAATATTAATAATTTATATATTTATATTTATTTTATACGAAAATTATATATCATAATTCGTATTAATATAAAAATATGAAATATTTTTTTTATTTTATCAAATCCATATACGGTGTTTACTAAAATTTTAAATTATTTCACTTTCGTATTTTTTTATATTATTTTTATATTATATCATCGTATTATATTTTAAATTATCAAATATAATATATCTTACACATTTAATTTCCAATCGAAAATGGCAAGAAACTCTTGAAATTTAGCACAGCGGAATTGTAAAAAGACTGGAGAAGTTCATTGAGAAATAACCCGATTGAAGACAAAGTTGTAATTTGTGTGGCCACTCGTGAATGAAGAATCAAAAACCTAGGAGCCCTTGCTTCCCCTCTACACAGGCTAGCAAGGGATGCAACTCAGTAGAAGAGAAGTTACCTTGACTTGTTGACTCTGTTACCATATCAGCAAAATTACGTTGCATTTGAAAAAACAAAAAAAAAAAAAAAGAGAGAAAGAAAAGAAGTGAGTAACATGTTTTTTCCACGCCAAGGCTTAATTTGATCATATATATGCCTCTGGATGCACGTTCTACAATTTTTTTTCCTTTCCTTTTTTCCTTTCAAGTAAAAAAAAAAAAGATTGATCACATCACTTGTGGGCAATTATACAGAGATTATGAATCCCTCAACCAATCAACAAAACATTCATTATTTTCAAACCCTTGACATTATATAGAACCATGGTGGTAGTATCTCACAATACATCCAAAAATTATATAGCCATCTTTGTTAAGTGAATCAATGGTCTGTTTATAATTTTATAAGAATTCTGATACAGAGGATTCATAATATTATACAGAGGATTCATAATATTATGATCAGTTATGAAATAAAAATCTGTTAATGAGACAAACTGACCTGAGATAATCTGTAATCAAAGATCCTTCTCAAGATTCTTGTATTATCAAGGCATCCTTGATTAACGTTATCAAAGGTCTAATGGATTAAATCAAATAGGTCACCGTATGTTGGGCCGGATAATTTCTTCAGAACCTCTGCCAAAAGGTAGGTCAGAGCACCGTTCATCTGGCCATTGAAGGCCTGCATTCATGTGTCAGAAGGATAAGCCAAGTAAATCGTAACATAGGAACTTAAAATTTTAATTACGAATCAAATCACATGGAAATGTGTATTTGAAAAATGAAAGCGAATTAAGTATCTTCACTTACAGGGGTATCAACAGCGGCTTGGTTTTCTAGACAAGCACTGATAGAGATAGCTAATCCACCATTTGTACTTTTGTCGACACCCGATGGAGGACTATTGTCTTTCCATTTTTTCCTGTTTGATTCGATCAATGAAAAATAAGGGTATTAAAGGGTAGTTTGACTTTGAGTATAGTGCCCTTTCCCTTTCAAAATGGAAAATGTTCCTTGGATTCGTTCAAATTAGAGAGCAGAACATTTATTTGATCTTCTTTCTTATGATAGGAAAAAAATAATTTTTTTTGAAGATAAAATTTGGGTACAGTTTTTTGGTCTAAAATTAGATTATTAATTTGGATAGAAGCAACCTTTTAAAAAAAAAATTGAAGATAAAGTTTGCAAGAAAAGATAGGCTTGCTCTGGACTGAAGTACGTGCGGAAGATCTAAAATGGTTCCGCTATGACAAGCATCAATTATGGCCATGAAGCGTGACGGTGTTCTTGATAGGAGTATAGGACGAACGATGAGGGAATTAAGATCATCATCGAGGATCATGCCCGCATTTTCAAAATCAACAGGACAGATGTTTTCGTTGAACCCATCATCAGCCTCATCAAGTTGTCGTGAGCCATGTCCAGAGTAGAAGAACACCAGTGAATGCCCCTGTTGGCAGTCATTCACCAGACATCTCAAAGAATCCTCGTTGGTATAAATCGTTGGTCTGCAGTTTTTAATCTAACCATGACAATCTGGTGGGATTCTGGATTCATATAATAGAATAATTAGTAGCAGTAACATACCGGTTAGAACACGAATGCGTTCTCTGCGGTAACCAAATCTAGCAATCAACAAATCTCTCATGTTCTTACGTTGTTAACAGTTCCTTTAAGCTTGTACTGCTTCCTATTAATGTAAGCAATTCCGCACAGTACTGCACGCTTGCTTGATCTCATCGGGTTACGACCAGAGGGCTCGTAATTTAAGGAAGGAGTTACGGTACCCTGATGCATCTTACTTTTCATATGGCTAACGAAGCTTCTTATTCGGCTGCGCAGTTCTTGATGCTGCTCCTCGTTCGGAATTGAAAGAACGTTTCTGCACGAAGGACACACAATCCCTGCACCTTTGGTTCTTGCTTTCACAGCCAATTTTTGCTTGCATCGAAAGCACGTTATGTTTCTTCCGACTTCCATTACTGTTACAAATTTCATTAATTTTTGCTTTTACAGTCGGCTACAATAGTGGAGAAGCTTTAATATGCAGAGGTATATAGGAAAAGACTCACACGAAATTGTGAAATTCACGAAGTTTTCTACTAAAAACGATGAAATAAAAAATAAAATAAAAATTAAAAAATTTTGTTATATAGATTAAGTGTGTAACATTTAAAAAAATTTTAAAAAAAATTATATATATTTTTAGATAGATATTTTTAGTAAAAATATTAACAAAATTTTTATGTTAAATAAATATTGATCAAATTTAAATTATAAATAATTTTTTTAATAATTATTTTTATATATTATTAATTTTTACGACAAACTCTATCAATCTATCAATTTAAATTTTTTATTAAATTATTTTAAGAAGAAATTTTGTAAAATTCACTTAAAAAACTTCATGTAAGTTTTATTTGAGATGTATATGCTTTGCATGAAACTGCTTTTAAGAGTTAAAAAATCAATGACGAATCTATCCAAATTAACCAACAAAATTATCAAGCATTTATATTTTAGTGAAATTCTTTTAATTCACAAGTAGAATAATTTTTATTTTTTTTAATATACTTTAAAAGATATGGTACTTTATTAATTTTGCCTATAAAATTTAAAAATTTTAGTGATGAATGGGATAATTTCTTTTATATTTTAATTTATTATATTTTATATTATAAAAAACAAAAATTAAATTTCCTTTCTAAAAGAACAACAAAACCACAAAAGTACTCTAAGGTTATCATTATAATGGGTGCATGGGATATATATACGTATGAATATAAGAGGAGAAATATAAAAATATAAACTTTTGTATTTCATAAAAGAATATACAAAAGTCAAATAGTACATCAAATCGTGAAAACAAGTCAGATTTTAAGCAAACTCGGATTCTCTATATAATATTACAAAAAAATTTCGGGGAACCGCTTGTACCTAGATTTGCCTATGGTTAGAATAAAACATAATAAAGCATAAGAAGTTTTCTCTAGAGAATTATATTCCCTATTGTATTGGAAGTCCATTTAAAATGTGACTCTCCAACAATGGATCTGCTTTGACAATTTGGTATCTCCAATTCCTCTTTCTTATCCATCCTCTTTATATTTTGGTAAAAATAAAAAATAAAAAAAAAAAAGAAAAAAAACCTCATATGCCGTCCTCCTATATTAGCCTGCATGATTGGCTACTATAGAAATCCTACTACTCCAAATAAGAGCAGAATTCTGG